GTCGCGTCGATGAAGGGAATACTACGATTTGGAAATAAAGGAAAGTTGAGAGTCCTACATTTATCGGTCCATTTGAGATTCTTGAAAAAGATTGGGAATGTGGCATATCAATTAGATTACCACCCGAACTATCAGCAGTGCACAACGTATTTCACATTTCTATGTTGAGAAAGTACATTCCGAATTCTAATCATGTGGTGAATGTTCAATCACTAGATGTATATGACGTACGAGGAAGCTTCGGCAATGATTCTGGAGAGAAAGGACTATGTCTTGAGAAATAGAAAAGTTCCACTAGCTAAAATCTAGTAAACATGGTGAGGGACTACTTGGGAAAGAGAAGATGACATTTTAGCCAAGTACCCGATCTTCTTAAAACAAGTAAGTTAAATTTCGAGTACGAAATTATTTTAAGTGGAGAGAGTCGTAGTGACCGAGAAAAAAATGTTTTGTTTCGTTTTAAGATAAAACTTCCCTATATAACTCGAATATAATTTTGGTTATATTATTATGTCGCTGCGACCCTTCCTTAAGAGTTCAAATTAAAGTTTTGGTCACGATAGTAAAGTTTCGCGTATTTTGCTTTTTTTTTTTTTTTTTTTTTAAGGATTAACTTGATACTAGAACAATAGATTGGGGACTAAGACTACAAATTCCCAGGAAAAAAGGGGAACCAAAAAAATCAAATAAAATAAAAGAAACAGAAATCCTTGTACCTGGAGGAAAGGAAATAGACAACAATACAAAAAATCCTTGTAGCACGGTGGCAGATTTGGGCTTGGAGCCTGTGCTAGCCTTAGCCCAGAATTTTTTTAAATTTTTAATTCCAACCCTTGTCCAAATTTGAAATAAGCTCCCAAGTCCAAAAATAAAAAATAAAAACTAAAACCTAAATGAAAACAACCAGTCAACCACAACCAAATTCTCATACCCCAAAAATCGTCCCTCCCTCTACGTAGAGGAAATAGTGGCCAATGACTGAATGACCCGGCCCAATTTTCAAAATGAACTTTGACCAGTATTAAATGAAAAAAAAAAAAGATAGATAAAAGATAAAAACAAAACAAAATGTTCAATTACCCATTATACCCTTTGAAAAGAAAAGATAAAATAAGAAAAACAAAAGGAAGCAAATCCGGACTCCAAGCTTAAAGACGAAATTGACTTCCTCATTCATTTCTAAACTTGACAATGTTAGTATTTGTTTGAAATCTTTAGTATTTCATTGTGGTAGATAAAAAAAAAAAAGATAGATAAAAGATAAAAACAAAACAAAATGTTCAATTACCCATTATACCCTTTGAAAAGAAAAGATAAAATAAGAAAAACAAAAGGAAGCAAATCCGGACTCCAAGCTTAAAGATGAAATTGACTTCCTCATTCATTTCTAAACTTGACAATGTTAGTATTTGTTTGAAATCTTTAGTATTTCATTGTGGTAGATGTAGAGATTTGATTTTTTCATTGAATGTGTTAATTTATGAGTATAATACAAATATTGAGGTTTATTTATGGTTAAAATGAAAGAAAAGTTAAATTTGAGATTGAAATAGACCAAAAATTGGTATTTTTGGGGCGGAGCTAGCTGAAAATCTCTGCCGATTATCTTGATTCGGACTCGGACGTCCAGGCGGATTTGGCATGGATGTCTGGATCTGGAGTTGGGTAGACCGAGGTCATTCGGATCCGACCTAGTTGGGTCTGGTCTAGTCCAACCTTTTTTTTTTCATTTTTCTTTTCAATTTAATTTATTTTCTGTTTTGTTGTTAATTTTTTTATTTCCTCTTTTTTTTTCAATCTTAAATCGTATATATATATTTTTTCAATTTCTTTTTACTTTTTTTCTTAATTTATTTTCTTTCATCAATTATTTTTTCTTTTTCAATTTCATTTTCATTTTTTTTCTACGTGTGTTTTTTTATTTCCTATTTTTTTTTTAAAATTTGAATCTTACAAATATTTTAATTTTTTCTTAATTAATTAATTAATTTTTATTTATTTATTTTTGTATATCATGGTACATTTTTCATAAACGATGTACTTGATGTTATTTTCATTTTCATTGACTATTTTTCATTCCTTTGAAATTCATCAAAATATAAAATAGAGATACATGTTGATGCCATATTTGTATTACGAATAAAAATATTAGAAAAAGCAAGATTAAACATAGAAATTAATCAATAATGGTAAGAAGAGGAAAAAAAAGAAGAAGTGGAGAGGCCGATATGTCAAGGGATGGCAGGCCCATCTGGCCCAATAATATTTTTTCCCATTTTTTATAAAATTATCTACGTATGCTATAACATTTGTGGAAATAAAATTTAACAATTCAAAAAATATGTGTAGTATTTTCATATGCTGGTGACTATAGACACTTCCTTTGTGTGACATTGAGACCAGTTCTAGTGTTTTGTAACTATGAACCACTACAAATACATCAGTTGATGCAACTTGAAGACGTTTTGTGAATCAGTGATATTGAACTAGTCTAATATGTGTTTGTATTTGTGATCCACCACAATATTGGTATTAATGCAACTCGAAGACGTTCTATGAATGACCAATCTTGTGGTTTATGATTTGACTTTTATGAAATAATAATGTATTCTCTGATAATCAGTGGGACGTGAAAATTTAACAGTTGATGAAGAAGTTCGATTTTTTAGGAAACAACTATAAATCATGACTCGGTTAATTATCACAAACTACAATTCATGACAGCCAACAAGATATATTTGTGGTCGATGCTAGAGGAAGCATGGCATTTAACAAGTTGCAAAATGCGAAGTGCATAGCAATTAAATTACTTGCTCAGAGTTATACAAGCAGAGATCAGATGCAGTTTCAATCAATTCTGTTATTTCAAATATGGCTACAATAGAGTCTTATTTGTTCACTCGTCTCTTTGATTCATTAACCGTGATTATAACCAGACTGGTCTTAGTAGATCAATATTTTTGGATTCTGATGAAGAGTGGTTAGCTTCTTGTAGAATCAAATAATGTTTTTTGTCATCTCAAAACAGATTACTTTATGACACTTGATGCTCTGCTTTCGAACGTTGTATCCTGCTTTTTTAAGAGTCTACTAAAGTCAAATTTGAAGGTAAAACTCCTAAAATATGATACCATTGTCAATTTATCGTCCGATGTTGCGTGGGATTTGTCTGAACATTATTGATAAATTACTACTTACTGGAATAAGAATGTTAAAGAGCCACCTTATCAAATATTTCAACTTTCTAAATGAACTTTTTAGTTGCAAGAGTTTTACCGTCTTCATATACCCCTTCTAGTCGGCTACCAAAGAATATTCCAATAAACTTTAGTTATGTTCGGCTAAGCTTAAAAGATTTCCTTAACAAATAACTCTTTTTCCTTATCCAAACTTTTTTCTGAAACACCTTTACTTTTAAGGTTAGCCGAACATCTTGGGAGGAAAGTTCAAAATTTCATGATAATTAATGATCTCTTGTAGGATGAAGTTCTCGAGGTCGCTGGTAAAGTATAGGCTAGGATGTCTCTACTTGTCAATCGTCATTGATACAGAAAATAAGTTCGTTTCAACTGGTTTTGCCAATGATATTGTAAGAGTTGCTCAAAATGTGCAACTTGAAGCACTTTGATTTTTGAATGCCCAGAATTATATTGCATGCCTTCAGATATATTCCTTTATTCTTTTGTTGTCCAAGAAAGTATCACTACTTGAAAAAAGAAAAAAAAAATAAAAAAGAAAAAAGAATTGCATAGTTTGTAGAACTTGGTTCAAATATTTATGAGAAAGGGACAGTCTTGTGCCGGTTTTTTCCCAATTCTTTTCTGTTTGTTTGTTGGCGTAACTGTAATTTAATATTGGATCTTAAAGCTTAAATTTTATTAGAATCTTAGCTTTTTTTTTTTTTTTTTTTTTTTTTTAATTTTTTTTTTTTTTTTTTTTTTTGCTAATTACCAGTTAGCCCGCAAAAAATTCTTTTCTCAAAATTTTGGTCATCTATTCCTTGCTAGGACAAGTATACTTTCCTTGTTGCATGTCCTTCCAAATTCCCAAGTTCCATTTCAAATCCGGTGGAATGTGCAACTGCAATAATGTACAATATTAAACAGAATGAGTTAAAAAGTAAAAAACTTGGTCATCTTAATGTTGTCCAATATTGTTCTGTACAATGTATGGTATTATTTATGAAAAATGAAATGTCTATTATGTATTGACTTATCTGGTAAGATGGACTTTGTAAGAGTAATCTACGTATCTATACACCTTATGTGCATATATACTCAGTATTAGGTAGGATTGGTTTGTTTAATAAATTAAATTTTAACTTTTTTTGTTTGACATTATTTACTAGTATGGAGCATCTAATCGATTCAATGATACACATCTTATATATTTACAAGTAATTTTAATATGTATCATATATATTATGTCGAATAACCCTTTAAATTAATTTTTTCCTCCACATAACAAATCAAGATCCGTTTAAATCTAAATCATATTTAGTCCCTGTTTGATATAAATTAAAATCAAATCTTTAGTATATTTTGATAAAAGTTGATTAAATATGTTATTGAAAGTTGCGGGTCCCATGAAATATATAATTAAAATTAATTGTTAATTTTGATTTGAAATTTTAATTAACTTCTCATCTGCAAACTAGGGCTTAATTTCAAACTGCATTTTATTCTTCATTCATCCCCCGTTTGGTCCCCATTTTGTGGAAGTGAAAATTGATGGAATAGTATTTTTTTGAAAAATGAGTGATTGAAAAAGAAGGAAAATTTTTCGTTTTACGTGTAATATTATTGTATGAAAGCTTGTGTGGTTAAAAATATGAGAAAGAAAAATGTAATGAAAATAAATGCAGTCAAACGGGGTCTTACTAACAATTTCAATCAATAAGAACCACCCAATTATAATTTATTTATTGTTTGGATTTAATTTTGAAAAAGAAGGAAAACCCAATAAACTAGCCGTTAGAAGAAAAACAACACTGTTTGCGCCGCCCGTCTAACAGTCAAAAATCCGAGAGGGTTCTCTAATTCTTAAAGCGACATCGTTTCCATCTTCTTCTCTTATGAAATACGCTTTCAAGTTTCACCACCCCCTGCCCCCATTCTCTCTCTCGCAGAAGAATAAGAGATTTTCCCCTTAATTCTCTTCTTCATTCTAATATTGCAATTTAATATTTGATAGTCGATTTTGATCTTCGAGAGGAAAAGAATAAAAAAGAAAGACAATGGCTACAATTAATAATAACAGCACAAATGCCGCCGGCGCCGGCTTCCCCGCCGGACCGGTAGTTTCACCGTCCAAGAATCCTTTGCCGACTGCAAAAACCGTTGATACACAGTCTGTTCTGAAAAGGTGTGTGTACATTTCTCAAATTATTCATTACTATTATTAATTAATTATATGGTTCCTCACTCACGTTTTACATTTCCTGATTTATTTACATGGGTTATAATGATATGATCTGTTTGTTGAATTTTGAACTGGGACTGTCTTCTTGGAACCTATTAATTATCTTTATTAAAAGTCAAATTCTAGGGTTTGAAGTGATTTTCTTAATTTGTGTTTTTCACTGGTATATGTAATTAAAGAAAACCTTAATTTTCTGATTCGCTAGAGATTATGTTCTCAGCAATTTTTTTTCCTTAATTTAACCTGTTTGGTGAATTTCATACGCTAAAACCACTTTTGATCCTGACTTTTTATCTTTTCCTTTTATTCAATAAACAGGTTGCGATCTGAACTGATGGCCCTAATGGTAAGAACCATATTAGCTTAAAGGCATATTTCTCGACTCGATTAATTCACCCTGATCCCGTCTTTTAGGGCACTTTCAGTTAACGATTCACTGTTGAATTCTTGAATTTTAGATGAGTGGAGATACTGGAATATCAGCTTTCCCGGAGGAAGACAATATATTCCACTGGAAGGGAACAATTATTGGCAGCAAAGACGCAGTATTTGAAGGGACGGAATACAAGTTATCACTTTTATTTCCTCCTGACTACCCTTTCAAGCCTCCAGGGGTCAAATTCGAGACGAGCTGCTTTCATCCCAACTTCGATATGCACGGAAACATATGCTTGGACATATTACAGGTTATTATCAAATAATAATCTTCTCAATTTTCTAGCTACATTGCTTAACTTATTCAATGTGTCAAAAAATGCTCTTATGTTTAGAAAACTTTTAGAATGGGACGTGTTTGCATGTTTGGTTTGCAATATTAGAAATTATCGTGCAATGGACAAAATGTCGATTCATAAAACTTTCTGAGATTACAATATGCATTGGAGTCCATTCAGATGCGACTCTATTCATATTTTCTCATTCCAACTCGTCTCATTGGAAAATTATCGATAGAGACACGAGCATCTGACATTTATTTTCCATTTTTCGCAGGATAAATGGTCATCTGCCTACGACGTGAGAACAATACTGCTATCGATTCAGAGCTTGCTTGGAGGTAATTTTGCACGAATCATTTAGTTTTTTGCCCTTGATCATACTGCTGTAACTATTTTGTGACTTAGTTTTCACGCGTTGCTGTAATGTAGAGCCGAACACTAGTTCACCTCTCAACACACAAGCAACATCACTATGGAGAAATCGTGCAGGTATGGAACCAATGAATTAGACAATTTTTTCCCCTGTAAAATTGCAGCCATGATTGATTTTTATCTGAATTTTTCATAATTTTTATTTCGGCGAAAATGGTGGAGAAATTATACAAGCCCAGTGGATAAAGGCAAATGGTGTTTCATCTGCTCATTTTTTCCATATTACTGCTGTGAAGGAAAAATAAAGCTTTCATTTAGAAAATCAATGGCACAATTCTTTCCATTTTTACAATAGAAAAGGAATATCATATACTCTGTGTGTGCATGTTTCTCTTGGAAAGTCTTCGAATTTGAAGCATTATACTATTGTTCCTGGAGTATAAGTTTCTCCTTCCAAACAATCCGACAGAATTACCTTACGTAATTTTGAACAGCGTAACAATACGATCAATAGGATCAGAAAGTTTAAAATCGCGGAAATAAGTGAAAATGGCCATTTGACCCACCATTATTTCCACTTTGGTCTTACTGATTTAAAAAAAAAAAAAAAAAGGAATACACAATTTAAAGACACTTTTTCAAAAATACCCCTCCATCTTCCTCTCTCTCTCTCTCGACAGTTTGGAAAGGAAAAATTAGATTTACTGACAGTCGACCGTCCAGACATCTTCCTCACCAAAGAACTTTTGGTTAACAGCTGTTAAGAGTTCTAAATGTTAGTGTTTGTGAAATTATAATTAGATTATTGGGTTTTGTTGAGTTTTAATTAGATAGGTTGGAATATGATTTTTGTGGTACGAAATGCATGATTTATGGTAGATTTGCGTATAGATGAAGTGTATTGGCCAATTTTTGTTGTTTTTTGGGAGCTCCAACTCGTCGAAAATGGTGAAATTCGACGACTGGAGATGAAAAGGTTGCAGCCGGCCGACTAATTCTAATTTTTATTTTAAATTAAAAATTTTTAATTTAGAAAATTGTTAATTTAGAATTTATTTTTAAATTAATTATTTAATCCAAATTCTGACTTTTTAATTTTAATTTTTTATTATATTTTAAATTTTAGTTATAATTTTAATTTAAAGAAATTTGTTATTTTAAAATTATTAGAATTACTTTTTTAATTATAATTTCAACTTTTTATGTTAAATTTAATTGTAATTGTAATTTTATTTTAAATTTAAATTTTTTAACTATAATTTTAATGTAAATAAATTTGTTATTTTAAAATTAATTTCAAAATAAATTTTCATTCTAATTTAAAATTTTTATTCTAAATTCAATTTTAGTTTTTAATTTAATTTTAAATTTTAATTTAAAGAAATTTGTTGTTTTAAAATTAATTTTAAAATTACTTTTTTAATTCTAAATTGTAATTTTATTTTAAATTTAATTTTTCATTTTATATAATTTTAATTTAAAGAAATTTGTTATTTTCAAATTACTTTTTTAACTTTTTATGTTAAATTTAATTTAATTGTAATTTTATTTTAAATTTTCATTTTTTTAATTATAATTTGAATGTAAAGAAATTTGTTATTTTAAAATTAATTTCAAATTAAAATTTTAAATTTAAATTTTATTTTATTTTAAATTTAAATTTTCATTTAGTTTATAATTTTAATGTTATGATTTTAAAATTAATTTTGAAATTACTTTTTTAATTCTAATTTTAACTTTTTATTTTAAATTTAATTGAATACCATTTTTATTTTAAATTTTAAATTTCATTTTATATAATTTTTAATTTGAATTCTATTTGTTATTTTAAAATTAATTTTAAAATTACTTTTTTAATTCTAATTTTAGCTTTTTGTGTTAAATTTAATTGTAATTGTAATTTTAATTTCCATTTTATTTTGTTATTTTAATTTTAATTTTTATGGTAATTATTAATTTTCGATAATACGGTTAAAAATTCGGTTTGCTTAATTTTGGGTTATTATGCTTCATTCCATTATTTCATGTACAATGTTAGAATATTCTCTTTGGATGCAGAGTTGAGACAGTCTCTGGAGCTGTGCCAGGACCGTTGATTAGATCACGAGTTAGGTCTGGTCTACATCATTGAGAGCATGATGCGATGTCATCACAAGAAGACTGCAATCGACCTCTTCCATCTCGAGATCGTCGACGACATAGATCGCTTCAACAGCCCAAGAGGCCCGTGCGTAAGTACGACACGTACGGATTCCCGTTAACGCTGCAGGTAAATGATTAACGCAATCAATGTTAAAACATTTTTTTATTGAATTTGTATGTTAGTTATGTGTTGCAAGCACCACCCGCTTTGTACATAGTCAATATGTCAATATGTCAAGTCGCAGGGTCTCGTGGGTGAAGTAGCGGTTCCGCAGGCCCAAGACGACCAGATGTCCGATTCGATCCCCGACCAGTTGATCGGGCTTCACCTCCATTGGCGGCATCACCTCCGCCGAGGGCATCACCTTCGCCGCCGACGTCACTTCCTCCCCCTCAGGGTGATTATTCTGATTATATGTACTTTCGTCTGACTAGAGAGTCGAGGATATAGCTTATGATGTTAGAGTGCTGCGCGAGCATTTAGGGGACCTTCATGATGACCTAGCACTTCGAGGTGATATAGCAGGTAGATGATGGGTTGACGGAGGTGACGACCAGGAGGTGATCATAGGGTGGTGGGTGAAGGGAGGACGACGGCTGTGACTGGGACGAAAAAGCGTGTTGTTGACTTGCCGGAGCTGGTGGTAGGCAAGAGGCCGAGAGTGCCGTCCATCACAGTACATCTTTCTCTGTTTCTTTTTGTCAGGACCAGCCGTACGATCGATACTGTGACGATTCCCGATACTTATAAGTGCTTCCACGACATCATCACTTCAGGAGCCTGGCTTGCTGATGATATAAGTGAAGTAGTCATACTAATAATTTTTATGACTTACATATCATTGTTTATGCAATGAAAATAAGTCCATTTTGTATTGGTATTTTTAACTCCATTATTCATGTCTACAAAGGGTTAGCTCGAACAAAATCTATTCTCTGTTTCTTTTTGTCAGGACCAGCCGTACGATCGATACTGTGACGATTCCCGATACTTATAAGTGCTTCCACGACATCATCACTTCAGGAGCCTGGCTTGCTGATGATATAAGTGAAGTAGTCATACTAATAATTTTTATGACTTACATATCATTGTTTGTTTATGCAATGAAAATAAGTCCATTTTGTATTGGTATTTTTAACTCCATTATTCATGTCTACAAAGGGTTAGCTCGAACAAAATCTGGAGTCCATTGCTGTTTTTGTCCCTATGATGGCTAGACAGGTGAGATTGACTCTGAAGGACAGATTAACCATCGTGCGAGACACGATAGATTGTGATAAGTAAGTGGTTCATTTGTAGGGGCGATTGTGACATTTTTGCAATAAAGTACATCGAATTTATGGCATGAGTCTATTCTATTAAGGTGATCAATAGATTTATTGTAATTATTAGTTGTAATTTTTTGTAATTACAAAATAATTGTGAACACTATAACTATTGATTTGTTGTACTTACGAAATGTTTGTAACACACTGTAATGGATTATGGATTATGAAATGATTATTAACTACGACGACAATTAATTTGTTATCGTGTAATAAATGCAAACACTGTTTAATTCAAATGGAACATGACTTGTACAATATCTAACTATCATTTAGAGGAACACGACTTGTACAATATTGACGAGTATATCCTATTGATTTGCACCGGCTGCACCTACGCGATTTAGGAAATTCTCCATGCGGTTCAATGAGAGGTGGCAAGAATGTATTGAGTGGGTGAATATGGTCGGGGACTTCCCACTCAGCTTCGTTCGGCAGAGGAAATATTGTCTCAGCGTACGCAGCTCTCCAATAATCAGTCGTGTAGTAATGATAGCACAATGTTCTAGCTACAAGTCCTCGATACATAGTAACCGCGATTGCATGCTCACACGAAAAATTTTCCAATTGAAATTTTTTACAACTGCATGTTATCAGTCAAGTCCACCATGTATACCGTATTACGTGCAAATTTCACTGAGAAGCTCGACTCGTCTAGTGAACACACTGTAATGGATTATGGATTATGAAATGATTATTAACTACGACGACAATTAATTTGTTATCGTGTAATAAATGCAAACATTGTTTAATTCAAATGGAACATGACTTGTACAATATCTAACTATCATTTAGAGGAACACGACTTGTACAATATTGACGAGTATACCCTATTGATTTGCACCGGCTGCACCTACGCGATTTAGGAAATTCTCCATGCGGTTCAATGAGAGGTGGCAAGAATGTATTGAGTGGGTGAATATGGTCAGGGACTTCCCACTCAGCTTCGTTCGGCAGAGGAAATATTGTCTCAGCGTACGCAGCTCTCCAATAATCAGTCGTGTAGTAATGATAGCACAATGTTCTAGCTGTAAGTCCTCGATACATAGTAACCGCGATTGCATGCTCACACGAAAAATTTTCCAATTGAAATTTTTTACAACTGCATGTTATCAGACAAGTCCACCATGTATACCGTATTACGTGCAAATTTCACTGAGAAGCTCGACTCGTCTAGTAATTCGACATTCAACTGTCTCGCAAGTTCTGCAGCTTTGAATATAGCCTTTGCTCTTTCATCGGGGCTAGCACACTCGTGCAATTCTGTGATTCCACACGTTGATCGTAAAATCACTGCTACAGCTTGGTACAGATATTCTCAATCAGTACAAGAGTGGGTAATTCTCGATCTTTCTTTAATAATACATTAAGAGACTTCGCGTTGTTTGACTTCATCATGTTGTATCGACATCTTGGAAAAAATGAGATCACCCAGTGTTCAATCCCCATTTTCGTTAGATAATCCCATACATCGAATGATTTATTTCCTATTTCAACCATGAACTTATACAATAAAAGTCACATAGTTCTCTTCGAACACAGTTGGTTCTCACTTCTGTGTCTATTTTGTCCTTGGACACCTCCTAGTTCGTGAGTGTTTTTAGAGAATTCATCTTCACTTAATTCTCTTAGAAGCGGCTCCTTCTCACCCACATAGGTGGTTTCTTTAAAAAGTATTGTGTTATACTCCACTTGAATTAATCAAAATATAGAAACCATTAAAAGCGTAACATAACCTATTTCGTGGTATTTAGGCACTGACTCATCATAGGAATGGATATGAGTAAAAATCTCCCCAGTGTTTACTAAGTTTTCCATAGTTTGGTTGCCTGTGTCTATTTTGTCCTTGGACACCTCCTAGTTCGTGAGTGTTTTTAGAGAATTCATCTTCACTTAATTCTCTTAGAAGCGGCACCTTCTCACCCACATAGGTGGTTTCTTTAAAAAGTATTGTGTTATACTCCACTTGAATTAATCAAAATATAGAAACCATTAAAAGCGTAACATAACCTATTTCGTGGTAGTTAGGCACTGGCTCATCATAGGAATGGATAGGAGTAAAAATCTCCCCAGTGTTTACTAAGTTTTCCATAGTTTGGTTGTCCCATTGAATCTAGATCTTGGGATCTCTAGTCAACTAGATTGAGTTGCCACCATAGAAACTTTTGATTATTTTATCGATTTTAATCCCATCCCATTTGATGGACTTTCGACTTGCTCTCTTGGTAAACTTTTGGTTAATGGATCCAAAGTTTTTTGTATGTTTTAAATACACTAAAACTCCAAGAATTGTCTTCTAATGATCAGTGCTTGGATTGCTCGTATATCGACTTAGTCTACTAATGGAATAAGCAATATTAGATCGTGTGCAACCATGACATACATTAAACTGCCAATAATACGATAATATTCCAATTGAGACTTGCTATCACCAGTATTAGAAACAAAATGCATACTAACATTCATAGGTGTTTTCATAGGGATAATATCATATTTCTTGAATTTATCAAGAATCTTCTCAATGTAGTGTGATTGAGACAATATGAGACCATCATTTTAGCATCATTTTTGTAGTTTGAATTATGATATCATTGTTACCCATAATCAACATGTCATCTACGTATAAACATACCATGATGTAACTATTTTGAGTGTTCTTGATATAAACACATTTGTCACACTCGTTAATTTTGAAACCATTTGACATCATAATCGTGTAAAATTTTTCATGCCATTTCTTAGGAAGGTGCTTTATATAAAGTGATTTAACAAGTCGACATACTTTTTTTTATTGTCCTGAGGCCACAAATCCTTCGGATTGCTCCATATAAATTTCTTTATCTAATTCACCATTCAACAAAGCCGTTTTAACATCCATTTGATGTATATCCAAACCATTCAACTCTGCTTGTAGCCTTTTGCGACAAGTCTAGTATCATATTTGTCAATTGATCCATTTGCTTTCATTTTCCTTTTGAAAATTCATTTACATCCCAATGGCTTATTACCGGGAGGAAGGTCTACTAATTCCCATGTATGATTTTGTAGTATGGATTCAATTTCACTATGAACAACTTCTTTCCAATACAAAGTTTCAGTCGATGACATAGCCTCTTTAAAATTTTGAGGTTCATTTTCTAACAAATATGTTAAAAAGTTAGGCCAAATGAGGTTGACGTCCTAGCCCTCTTACTGCGTCTAGATTATTCATTTATAGATTCTTAATCTATCTCTTCACTTTCACATATCTCTTCTGTGAATTTGATTCATTTTGCATGTTATAAAGAAAAATATTTTCGAAAAATATAGCATCCCTCGATTCAATAATCGTATTAACATGTACAACGGGTATTTCAGACTTATGTACGAGAAATCTTTACGCATTACTGTGGTAGGCATAACCAATTAATACACAATCAATGGTTTTAGGCCCTATTTTAACCCTTTTAGGTTTAGGAATTGCTACCTTAGCCAAACATTCTTATACCTTCAAGTATTTATATTTAGGTTTGTGACCTTTCCATACTTCATGAGGTATTTTATTCCTTTTTTAATGTGGTAATTTGTTAAGAATATAATTGGCAGCATGCAAGGCTTCCCTCCACAAGTTCTACGGTAATCTAAAACTTATTACCATAGCATTCATCATCTCTTTCAATGCTCGAGTCTTGCGTTCAACAATACTATTAGATTGAGGAGAATAAGACTTGGTAGTTTGATGAATAATTCCATGTTCCGAATAGAATTGTTCAAATGGAGAATCATATTCACCATCTCTATCACTTCTTATGGCCTTAATAGTTGATTTTCAACTTCTAACAGTAGTGTTTAAACACTTCAATTGCTTCGTCTTTGCTTTTGAGTAAATACACATTCCACAAGTTCTACGGTAATCTAAAACTTATTACCATAGCATTCATCATCTCTTTCAATGCTCGAGTCTTGCGTTCAACAATACCATTAGATTGAGGAGAATAAGACTTGGTAGTTTGATGAATAATTCCATGTTCCGAATAGAATTGTTCAAATGGAGAATCATATTACCATCTCTATCACTTCTTATGGCCTTAATAGTTGATTTTCAACTTCTAACAGTAGTGTTTAAACACTTCAATTGCTTCGTCTTTGCTTTTGAGTAAATACACACAACAATATCGAGTACAATCGTCGATAAAAGTCATAAAGTACTTATTACCTCCTCTAGTTTGAACAAACTTGAAATCACATATATCAGTTTGAATTAAATCTTACAGTTCGGTACTTCTTTCAACAAAATGAAAGGGTAAACGTGCCATTTTGGTTTCTACACATATATTGTATTTGTGATTAGGATTTAAATAACACTTTGATAATAAATCTAGTTTGATTTTAGTCTATTCAAAGTATTATAATTTACACGTTCTAGTCATTCATGCCAAATATTAAATGACTCAAGCAAGTAAGAAGATGTAATTTTATTCATAATCGGAGGTACAACGGTCATTACATTCAACTTAAAGAGCCCCTCATTCAGGTAGCTCTTTTCTACAAACATTTCATTCTTCGCAAGTACAAACTTGTCCGAAACGAATACAAGCTTAAACTCGTTCTTGCTTAATAA